GCATTTCCTACAGTGAAAGCAGGTGAACAGCTTCTTCTGTATGGGTTTTTCTATGTCTAACAATGTATGACCGCCGACTGAAGTTTTTCCCACAATCAGAGCAGCTGAAGGGTTTCTCTCCTGTTTGGGCTCTTTCATGTTTAATAGGAGTTACACAGTCACTGCAAGCACAAGGTGAATGTTGATGGGGGATTCTCTTTTGAACAGTTTCTGTGTTTGTTTTCAACCTTCTGATCCTCTGACTGGATTTATCCTGTCCTGCTCCTGGATGGTTTCCCTGCTGCCTTTGTAGACTACGCTGACTCTCACAAGTCTCTCCTTGCTCAGGACTCTGAGAAACATGCCCTTCAGATCTTTCCACTAATAACCCACATGGAGCCATTTGCTCAGGTCCTTCCCCCTGAAGACTCCTCTCACTGTTCTCATTCAGCATCCCATCACCTGCTGGGATAGACAGAGAAAGCACACAGGAGTCATTCTCTGTGCTGAGCTGAAATAAAAATTCGGAATGGTGAATAGAAAATGCAGGACAAACCCAAAAAATGGCTGGAAAAATACAATAATCATGACCTGAGTTCACCCTGCTTCCCCCATCAATCTTTCCCCACCCAGCACTCTCAGACTGGAGTTGAGACAGGCTGAAGGGCCAGTCAGACTTGATGAACACACACACAATCAACATCTGCTATGAGAACACAAAAATAGGTTGAGTCAGTTTAGCTGATCTCACCTGTGTGGGAGTCACTGATGATCTCCCCTTCCTCAGAGCCTTGGAGATCCGGGATCTGCAGCTCTTCCCTTTGCTCCACCCAGGGGAGCGCATGAGCTTTGGAGATTGGAAATCCTATTTCGGGAGCAATTAACCAAGTGCTGATCTTGTTCATTAAGGTCTGCGCCAAAAATAGGTTGAGTCAGTTTAGCTGATCTCACCTGTGTGGGAGTCACTGATGATCTCCCCTTCCTCAGAGCCTTGGAGATCCGGGATCTGCAGCTCTTCCCTTTGCTCCACCCAGGGGAGCGCATGAGCTTTGGAGATTGGAAATCCTATTTCGGGAGCAATTAACCAAGTGCTGATCTTGTTCATTAAGGTCTGCGCCATTCC